CGTTCGCAGAGGGTGAAAGGCTGCTGCACGACGCTGCCGACTGCTGCTCCCACCCCCCACCTCCCACCCCGTCCCATATTCGGGCCCAGCTGGCAGCGCGATGCAGCAACTCGGCGGAAAACCAAAGGGGATGGAAGGCTGTGTCCACTACCTCGCCCTCTGCTCTCCAGGGAGAGGATGCGAAAGCGGTGGGCGCGGGGTGGGGGAGGGATAAGACTGGAAGGACAGATCACCAAGGACCTGGCCGGGAGCGCGAAGGAACCTCGCCGTTTGAGGTCCTTCCCTTGAGTCTCCGAGGCCTCCCAGCATGTGCTTTTTCTTCAAAGGACGTGTGGAAGCGACGTCCTGCCTTCCAGTGCCAGGGAACCTAGGGGCACTTGGGGGGAGGACATAGTTGCAGGCGACCCAAAAAACTGGTCCGGGTTTTTGGAGCCCACGTTTGGCAGCCGTCAGTTAGGTTAACTCAGTAGGGCAGGAGTCTCCAAACTTGGCAACTTTAAGACTTGTGGACTTCAACTCCCAGAATTCTCCAGCGAGCTATGGAAGTTGCCAAGTTTGGAGACCCCTGCAGTAGGGAGACATAAGCACTCTGCACATGTCCCCTGCACATGTCCCCAAGCCTGCCCGTCTTTTATTCTTCCCTGGCCCAGATCGGGCCCTGCGGGATTTGGCCTTGCGGTCCCGTCGGCAGAGAGGAGGATACTAGTCACACTCCGTAAGTGTGCCAGCCAGAGGGTCTCCCTGAGAGAGCAGGTGGCAGCTCCTCCGGCCTTCAGAAAAACTCTTGCTGCTCCAGTCTCAAAGGAAGGCGCTGGAAACAGGTGGTCTTGCTGCGCGACAACCAAGAAAGGGGAAATCGAAAGGGAGACGACCTTGATGTCCCCTCCACCGGTCTGGTCCTCGAGGGGCAAAACTCCGCCGAGAACGCTTTGTCGCGAGGGCAGCGGGAGAGAAGGGGCGATGGCTGGGGATCGAAAGACCCCAGGCTAGCCCCACCACCTCCCGGAAGCGCGCGGGACCTTCGCCCAGAAAGTCACTTGAGCTGGACATAGGCGAGGCTTAGCCAGGCGGCTCAAATCTTCGCCTTTCCCTTGGTGAATCGCGACCCGGCGCTCCGAGGATCCGCTCCGAGTCAGCTGTGCAGGGGTGGCAGGGCAGATGCAGGCGGGCACGGCTGTAGGGAGGGAAGAAGGGTGAGGAGCGAGCGCCGCGAAGCCCCTGGGCCTCGGGGCAAGAGATGTCTCCCTGCAGGAAGAGCAGGCGAGCAAAGAGGCTGTTCACACCAGCCCAGGCAAAATGCATAGGAGACGGCGTAGCTGGAAACTCAAGAGAAGCCAGTCACCTGCCGGCTTGCTTATTTTGATACACACATATGGGCCGGAGGCGGGCAGGTGCCCAGCAGGCTGGGTCTGTCACGTGGCAGAAAGGCGGGGGAAAGTTGGAGGACTTTAGTTTGGGCAACAAAGGCAGTCCGTGGCTTCGATGCCCTGAAAAGGACCCCGACACATTCAGTTCCGACGAGTTAAAACGCCATTTAGTTCAGCTTTCTTCTGGATATCCGGACCCCGCCAGTGGAAGTCCCCTTCCCAGGAAAAAAGTTGACCCGCGCTTGTTTGATTTTTATGTCCGTGGAAGACTTTGGAAGAGTTGTCTGAGGCACCTTTTCCAGTACCTCCTGTATATAAATTCCCTTCGCGACACGATCTGAGAGAGTGAGCAGAGCGTGCATCCCGATTTCAGCCACTGTAAGGCGGTGGGCTTCCGCCTATTTTAAAGTTGCAAGAATCTGACAACTTTGGGGAGACCCTCAACTGTGGCAACAGTTGCTTCATCTTTTGCTTTGCTAGGGATGCCCAACTATTTCTGCCTTAGACCTTCCATCGTATTTTTTCCACTCACCTGTGGGTGGATGGGTGTAACTCAAAGCGACAAACATATATAATACCCATGTCTCTTTTACCCACCACCAACACTACAACCCCGTTAGGCTGAGATAGAGTTTGGCCCTAAGTCACTCAGCCGGCTTTCATGACGGCACTAGAACTCCCAGACTCCCGGTTCCTAGCCTAGCACCTTACCCATTAGACTAAACCGATTCTCACGTGAATTCCTCTTGGGCGCTTTTCTTTTCCTGCTATACTTGGGAATCCTGGTCTCCTGGTGATGAAAAGAGGCGGGTGCCACGGGGGCGGGACGGGCGGGGGGAGAGAATAGAGGAGATGGGCTTTTTTTTTCTCCTTCCACTTTTTAGATGCGCGCAACCTCCGCGCGCACTTTTCCTGCCCTTCTCTCTCTCTTCACTCCAGCTCCTCCTGCCGAATCAAAGCTCTTTTGTACCAAAGGAAAAAGGGCGAAAAGCAACGATCAAACAATCTATATATATATTGGCCCAAACCACACCAATGAACTGAAAATCGGCTCTCTGTAATATGCAGGTTGCTCAGAGGCTTCGGGTTTGTTTATTCACGGAGATCTCAGATACTATCCGGTGGGGAGAGGACACTGGGGGGGGGGGGAGCAAAGTGGAAGAGAAAGAGATTTGATAGTTATCTCTCCGTCTCCAACTTCTCCAAGTTTTTCTCTATCGCCCAGAGAAACCCCGAAACAAGCCATGAAATAAACTTCTTTGCTTGCAATAGGCCTCTTTCTAGATCTTGTCAATTTCCCACTGGAAATCCAGAGGTTTTTATCAATCTCTCATCACTGAATTCGGATTAATAACTTCCTCCCCCCTCCCCTTGGGATTAATATCGCCAGTGGCTTCGGTTCTGTGGAACTTCGAATCTGCCTTGATGACTTACGCCTCTTGATTTCTATGGGCATCCCAAGACATAGGATTATAGAGCAGCTGGTGCCGATTTGGAACAAGTTCCTGAAAATTAAGACTATCCTATCTGGCGTTCCAAACTACGGATAACCACTAAGTGGCAGCAGAGAGACACACATTGCCAATGACGTTCTGGGAACATCTAGGGGATCACAGGGTTTGTGCAGAAAAGTAACAGACCTGCTGGAAATGAAGAAGCGTTAGCTCAAAATTGGGCAGGGAATGGAAAGGGATGGAAATAAACTCTCCGGGCATCCAATATTGCAACCCTGGTTAAGAATAGTTCTTCTCTTTTAAAAGTAAGTGGATCCAAAACTTCTTAGACGCTGATCCTTTTTTCAGAGTTTTGAAAAACATTAACTGAGCCCAAGTATTTGGAACTGAGGAACCTCAAAAAAACTTGGATCTTAAGAGGGAAAGAAGAAAGAAAAGTTCACAATGGGGAATTTTCTCTAAACTTGCTAGAAATAAGCCTACGTGCCTTTTCTACTTTGCAAGATAACTACAACACCGTTACGTCCTCCCTTCTACAGGTCAGTGTTTTCGAACTTCCCAGAATTTCCCAGCCGGCTTTGAGAAACTCTGAGGTAGACCATCCATACATCTTCATTTGCAAGGGTTTGTTTTTCCTCAATTCTTGAAAGCATTGTTGTCCTTTGAAGCAGAGCACAATCAACCCCAGTTTCATACAGAGACCAAAAAAAAAAAGTTTAGTCGTAGGCACAGTTTCATATCTGCGTCCATTTTATTAGCCTCTAGATACCTTTGTTTATTCGGCAGCTCCGGCAGCTCCAAAGTCCTCAATTGCCAGCCAGCGAGAAATAACAAGTAAGCCAACATTAAGGATAATTCTCTTAAGTCTCCACCGTCTCTCGTACACGAATCCTGCTCCATACCTTCAGCGTCAAGCGGTGGAGGATTCTTCAGCAGCTGCCTGGGAGGGGGGGGGGGACCTAACAACTCAGTTTAATAAATAAATAAATAAATACGCACTATTGTGAGTTCCTTATAATTTCCATCAGCTTCCCTCACTCTTGGGCTGATAGAATACGTCCAGAGATCTATGGGATCCCAAGGCAATTGCAACTGCCGTCCCACGTACGTAGCTCGCCTGAACTCTGGTTGGGCTACAAAAGGACAGATACTTTCCAAAGTCTTTTACATCCATCCTGTCCGGAGGCCGAGCCCTTCTATTCTACACCCCTGTGTTATAAACAGGAGCTATTTTCCACGTTAGAAAGTTATTACAAGATCTGTGCAGTCCCGGGGGGGGGGGGTTAAAAACGGCCCCTTCCGAAATAAATATTTCTTCTCCCTTCCTTGTCCTGAAACCTAAGGCGACGCGTGGGGATGAGCCTGCTTGATGTAATGCCCAACTATGTGTGGTTGTTGGTGTTTAATGGGAGCCCTAACTCTGCCTGTGATTTCCTCGGTTTCTCAAACGGCGACGAAGCCTCCTCCCCCCCCCCCTCCACTGACCTATTTTATCGGTCCCTTAAATTTTCCAGACCATTTTCAACCTCCAGGCTGGCAGGTAACGTGTGAACGTTTTAAGGGGGGGGGTCTCACCTCTGCGCACATACACCTCGTCTTACTCTTGCTGACAAATATTAACCTGCTGCCAATTTTCTTTTAAGTTGAAGAGGAGAGGGGGGGGAGAGAAAAGAAACATGTAATTGATGTTATCCCGAGAAAACGCCGTCTCCACCCCTTTCACTTCCCAACCCTTCAGGTACAAGAAAGGAGCGAGCGAAAATCTCTCAAGACCATTAAAAAAAAAAAAAATCTCTCGCCTTGTTGTTGTGGGCGCTTCCCGCCCCCCCTTTCCTATTTTGCCTTCTTCAGGGTTAATACATCGGAAGGCGAGCTTCTCCCGCCTCGACCAATCAGGACTCGGCGCTGGCAGCTATAATATAGAACCAAAGCCAGGCTTCACTCACAGGCGTTTCAGCTCCCATTAGATCCCAGTCTTTATTATTTCATTCCGTTTCCACCGTCGCTCCCCCCCCTCCCCTCCCCGCTTCCCGCCCGCAGTCCCCTCCTGCCTTCTACGCGCCACGATCCTGAACTCCGATGAGTCCCGTTATCGCAAGCGCCCTCCAAGATGCACCTGCTTTGCTAGAGATCGGGGGCTAAGTCACCGAGAGAGGAGAGGAGAGGAAAGGAAGAGGCGGGCGGGCGGGCAGGCAGGCAGGCAGCAGGAGAGAAGGAAGGGAGAAGCCAGGAGCCGAGGGAAGAGGGCAACTCCCGGGCGAGGAAGGCAGCAGCGGGCGCGCTCTCTTGACACTCACCCGCACTCACCCGAGCCACGAGCCCGGTAGAGCGCAGGGGGCGGCGAGGGGGGAAGCCGAAGGGGCCGCTTGCTCCGTGGACGGCATGCTGCTTCTGAGAAGAACTGGGCTCCTCCCGCTGTGCCTAGGCGCGCTTTTCCTCTCCGCCGGGCTGGCTTGCGGGCCGGGCCGGGGTTTCGGCAAGAGGAGGCACCCGAAGAAACTGACCCCTTTAGCCTACAAGCAGTTCATCCCCAACGTGGCCGAGAAGACGCTGGGCGCCAGCGGCAGATACGAGGGGAAGATCACTCGGAACTCGGAGCGCTTTAAAGAGCTGACCCCCAATTATAATCCGGACATTATTTTTAAGGACGAGGAGAACACGGGAGCCGACCGGCTGATGACCCAGGTCAGAGACGCGCCCTTCGCCTCTTGCCGACCTGCTCGCCTTCCGGCCTGGGGAGGGGGGGGCGGACTGTAACCCGGCAGCGTCGCCTCCCTCCGGGCCTCTCGGCTTCCCCGGGCGTCGTCGACCCCGGTCCCCAGGAGCTGTCGGGGGAAGGGATGAGCTGTCGGGGTGGGGGAGAGCTCCTTGGGGACAGCACCGGCGGGTCTGTTGATGCGACCTTCCGCCTCGGAGGGAGGAGGCTCCGCGTGTGAATACGGCAGCCCGGTAGTTTGAAGGCAGAGCTGCGCTCGGCCGCTCCCTGCCAACGAGTTGGTTAGCTGGCGGCTGCTGCCTGCTGCTCATGTTAGCCTCCTGCCACACCACCGATCTCTCCCCACGGGGACTCTCCGCTTCCCCTCGGAGGCAGAAATCGCCCAGCTCCGTTTCTTTCCTTTCCTAGATCTTTTAGATTAAGCCCCTTTCCCCGTCGCCTCGCACGCGCCGCGAGGATGGAGGTCAGAACTTGGCATCTCCCGGGGCGCTTCTGAAGTCCAAGGAGCGGGATGATAATGATAATAACAATGATAATTATTAAAGGCGGCATCCGCCAAGCTCCCTTTGGCAACTGTGTCTGAAAGCGCATTGATCGCCTTTAAAGATGCTCGCGCTCCCCACCCCCTCCGCCCCAGACCGGTGATACCACCCGAGGGGGAAAGACGGGGAACTTAATCAGCACAGCAAACCCCGGGAAGGAAGGTCGCGAATTGCGCGTCCACCTCTCACGACCTCAGCGAGCGAGGACTACAAAATAGGCGCCTAAAACTAGGCACCCATTAGCCGCCCACTCTCCGTCCCTCCGATCAGCTTTCCAAGCGAGTAACGACCGAAAGCTGATTCGTCCAGGGGGAACTCTGCGAATCAGGCTCCGCTCCACCTCCGGAGTTCGGGCGGCCCTTCAAATTCTCCACCACGCCGCCGGCCTCGGGCGACTTGCCGTCGGTTGCGTCCCCTTCCGAAAATAGGTCAGCAGCCTTTCCTTCCCCGACCCCTCCCGCGATTCTGAGGTTTAAGCCCCACCTTCAGCACCAGGGAACCAGCTCAATTCCGCCCGAGTCGCCCCTGGAAGGGCGGAGGGGCGGCGGCTCACTTCTCGCCTCTTTCCTTTCGCGTCCTGGCCTGCCGTTCGGCGAGGAGTTAGCTCGGGGATACGGGAAGCGCGCCCGCCCGCACCGCCATCTCCATCTGACCACCTTAAATCTCACGGGGACCCGGGAAGGTTTGGAAGCGCGCGCGGCGCTTAGGCGCACGACGCGAGTTCCAACAGCTGCCGAGGCCGCGACAGCGCTGCCTGCAGGAAAGCTAAGTCCCCCTCCCCCTCGGAGAGAGCAGAAGGCGCTTGTCAGAAGGCGAGGCGACGGTGGGACCAGCGCCACTGGGAGACCTTTAAGCTCCGGGTTGGCGTTCTCGCCCTCCTGGCTTTCTTGTGGCTGCGTCCCGCCGCCCGCTCCCACCCCCCCTCCACCCCCTTCACTCATCTGCAAAGACGCGCGAGCCGGGTTAGCTGTGCGGCTGCAAGTCAACCGCACCTCGCGTTTTCAGCTCCACTTACTCCTCTCTGATCGATCGCCAGAGCTCGGGTTTCAGCCTGGAGCCTGGCTGCAGGCGGCCGGAGAGGCTGCGAGCTCGTGGCGGGGCTGGCAGTGACGCGGAAGCCCCAGGAAAAAGCGTTGCCGCCGCTGCTATGAGCGGCGAGGGGGTCCTGCGCGTGCGCGCCCGCCTCTGCCGGCGCAGGTCGCTTTTCCTTCTCGCTCTTCCGACAGCCTGAGAAGAGCAAAGGAAAATGTACCTGGGCGGGTCCTACTCCCGGGGAATCCGTCTGGAAGCTCCTCCAGGTGTACGGGACTTTTACGCCAGTGCTAGCGAGCTGGGGGTGGTGGGAGTGTAATCTGGACGGTCTGGGAAGGAAAGGAGAAGATAGGTCTGGAAAGGAGGTAAATTTGGAACAAATGGTCCGGATTTGTGGGGTCGAGGGTGGGCAGAAGAGAGGCAACGGAGAGGACCGGGAAACGTAGCCCCCTCTGACCGCCGCCTCTCCTGTTCTTCCCCGCCCCCATGCGCACTTCCCACACGCCTTGGAGCTCCCTTGTTTGGTGGAACGAGGCATCTGCAAGGCAAGACTCTCTCCACTTCCCCGCTTCTCCATGGCCGGCCTCCTTGGCAGCCTTCTCTGGCAGCCTTTGAACTTCTGACCTTCCGCCAACTTCCCTCTCAGACGCAACAAACACCGCGCCCCAGCCCCGCCACGCTAGACGCACTCCCGGGAGCTTCCCATCGCGTCTCGCCTGGCTCCTTTCCGGATTCTTCGGCCGCTCTGGGCGCGGCCGGAAAAATAGCCTTAGCTGGGGAGCCAAGAGCGGCCTCCGAGGGAGACCTTGGGGGGACGTGCGCTGGGGGAAGGGGATGCTCGTGGAGGCTGGCTGACCCTGGGCATGAAGGCAGAAAAGGAAGCGAGTTTGCTATCCTGCGCGGCGGCCCTCAGCGTCTGAGGTAGGGTGGGTGGGTGGGTGGGGGAGATTCGCTAACATAGAACGCCGCTTGGCGGCGGAAATGCACCTGGGCGGCCCCGAGCCCTTCGCCTCCGCCTTGACCCTTGTCTCGCGCAGCGGCCGGGCAGCTTGGGCAAGGCGGTCTCCCTCCTAGGGCGGGGCCGAGAAGGGAGGAGAAGCCTTTTCGGCAGGGAAGCGTTTTTTTCTTTCCATCCAGCCGCCGCCGCCTTCGCCGCTGCCAGTTAATATTAACTAGATGCGGAGAGGAGAAAGAGACAAATCCCGGGAGAGCTGGAGGGGGTTTCTCCCCCCCAATGACTGAATCTATGCGTGACATAAGGGTGCCAGGCCAGAGCTGACGTTCGTCTGTAAAAACGAGCCCTTTCTCGGCCCGCTGAGAGGAAGGCAGTACAGTCCGCGAATATTCCTTAGCGTGTTTTGGGGCTTGAGTGGAGGGGGGGGCGCGCGGGAGAGTCCCGCTCAATCAAGGGGATCGAGAGGCTGCGCCCGATGGGGTTTATTCGTGGAGAGATGCTCTACGCGGGTAGCCTTCCTTGTCAGCAAAAGGGGAGAGAAAGTGAAAAGCGCCGAGGCGGAACGGCGTCCTGGAGAAGGCAAGGGTAGCCTGCATGATTTCCTAGGTCAGTTTAGCCCCCATAACTCGTCTCTTTTCTGCCCGAGCCCTCCTGAAAAGAAAGGATCGGGCAGATAAGACGTCTTGGAGGAGTGATGGAAGCCAAAGGTGCCTCAGTGCTGCCGTCTTTGCGGGTGAGGATTTTGATCCCAATAAGCCGGCTCTGTAGATCTTTCCTTCCCCTCTCCACGCCGGCGAAGTTCCCTCCATGAGCCCGAGAACGCCGAACGGCTGAGCTCGCCCTGGCTCTTCCTCCAGTCCAGCCGCGCGCCTTGGGCAACCGGGCGTCGGATCCTTCGTAGCCCCAGACTTCCGGCTCTTTGGACGCTCACGGAAGAAGCGCAGGTATGGGGGATCAGTTTCTGCTGTCTAGTCCCATCCAGTCGGCAGAGATCCGGGATTGGTGCGTTGAAGGGGTAGGAAAACCCACTCGTGTTTCCGCTCACCTGTCCCACCCAGCTGATGTGCTTTTTACGCATTCGCATTCCCAGCAGCAGCCTTCTGACATAAACGAAGATGTCTTAAATCTCCCCCCACCTTACCTCCCCAAAAGATGCCACTCTTAAAGCAGTTATCCGCGGCAGCGATTTCTAAAACTGTTGAGATGTATCTTTGCCAGCCCTTCATTCAGGGCAACTACAACTCCCAAAAGTGCTTTTTCAAGAGGCAACTGGACTTTCTCTTGAAAAAGCACCTTTGGGACAGCCATGACCTGGAGGACTGAGAATCTCCATATACAAGTTCCAGAATGTCGAGGCATTTGCGGGAGTGGTAGAGGCCTTTCTTGTAGAGAAGAGAAAGATGGAGTGAAGGTGTGTGCAACTAGGCAATTTCTTCTCTTTTGCAATGCAATCCCACTTGTGTTTATACCAAAGCAAATCCCAATGAGTTTTATGGGGCTAAACTTCGTACTGAAAACAATATATAAAAGGCAGGTAAAAGTGTGCCAAATTCACCCTGAGTTGGTCTTTAAAAAGCAATGTTGCAAAAGTTGACTCTGGGGGGGGGGGAAATGCCTTGCTAGCTTACACTTCTTGCTGGAGAGGTGAAATGGCAGAAGGTATTCCTGGGAAAAGGTCCAAGAAATTGTCCAGTGTAAAAGTCATTAGCCTCTGGAAAGGTTTGTTACAGTCTTAGAGACCTATTTATGCTTCCGCATAAAACTGCAAAGCCTCAGCAACAACTCCTCCTCTATAAACTCAGTTGTTTTATNGATAGATAGATAGATAGATAGATAGATAGATAGATAGATAGATAGATAGATAGATAGATAGATAGATAGATGATAGCTAGATAGCTAGATAGCTAGATAGCTAGATAGCTAGATAGCTAGATAGCTAGATAGCTAGATAGATAATAGCTAGATAGCTAGATAGCTAGATAGCCAGATAGCCAGATAGCCAGATAGCCAGACAGCCAGACAGCCAGACAGCCAGCCAGCCAGCCAGCCAGCCAGACAGACAGACAGACAGACAGACAGACATAGATAGATAGATCATGGGTATGCACAGAGTGGAAGAGGTAATCTTTCAGGTATCATAGTCTGAACCAGTTAGGGCTAAAAGGTCAAAAGAAGCATCTTAGGAAGTTTGAGCAATCCAACAGCAGCTCCATGAAGAGATCCATCTGGTATCCATAGTACAAGTAGTTTTCAACTTACAAACACAATTGGGAGCTGAACTTCCAAACGGTGCAGTCATTAAGTTGTACCTGATTTTATGACTTTTTTTTTTTTTTGCTGTATTTGTTAAGCAGATATGGCTTCCCCCCATTAACTGTTGAAAACACCTTGGGATGACCGCAAATGGAGATCATGTGATCATCCTAGGACACTGCAACTG